AGGGAAAGAAAATACCCCAGGAAGTTGGTGATGGGGAAATTCCAAAATTTGATGGAGTGGGTTACGACAAAGACTTGGTCGAAGCTCTTGAAAGGGACATTGTATCAAGGAATCCAAGCATTCATTGGTATGAGGATTTTCTCAATTCCAGTGGTTTTGCTAGTGTGGAGAAGGAGAGAAATTATCCTTCTTCTAACTCTTAAAACAGGGAGCCATCATAATCTTCTCCAGATAAGCAAAACAAGGTCTTTTGGTTTTAACAGTTTATTAATTTGATTACAGTTAAGCTTTTGTTGCTAACTGATACTATGTGCAGTACATCCATTACAGGTACTGCTGAAATGAAAGTACACTCCAGAGAACTTTAAAGATACCACTTTGGTGTTCACATTGTCCAAACCAATTTTTAATTAAGCAGCTCTGGGTAACTTGAGTTGAAAATAATTTTTTCCCTACCTTCCAAAGGTGGATTCAATTTTAGGTCACAGGATTATAGGAGTGCTCTCATGGGGCATAGAGTGGCATGCTAAAAGAGATGTTACTAAGTGAAAAGCTTTTCTAGTTTTCTTGTGTAAAAATAGAAGAAATACTCTTGTATAGGAACCTTACACAAGTTTCTTCATCTTGCACAGGGATGACATAGCGGATTTGGAAGAAGCCAAGAAGTTATTAAGAGAAGCTGTCGTTCTTCCAATGTGGATGCCTGATTTTTTCAAAGGGATCAGAAGACCTTGGAAGGTGGGAATTTATTTGGTGTTTTAGTAAATGGCAAGCTGTAGTTACGTATGTCTGCCACTGTAATATGTGTGGATGCCTGTAGCAGAAGGCTAAAAAGGCGAATGGGAAAGATCAGGAATTTGTTCATGAAATCCTCTTATAATGATTCATGTAAAATGCACTGAAAGAAACAGCTGGAAGTGTATGCAGGCTTTACAGTAAATAATAATTCTTTTGTATTTACTCAGTCATAGCTTGTTGACATTATAATACTTTCTATATGTCAGCCTGTACATGTGAGCAAGCATATAGGGTATATTGACAGAAGCAGAAATGCTTAATAAACAGCTCTGCTTAGGATTATGGTGGCCGCTCTTCACCACTTCACAGAGGAAAGCAGTCCTTGGACTGTTTTATTCTGCATGTGCCAGCTGTCTCTCAGTCAGACGGCAAACTGCAGGCGGGATGGTGCAAGCAAGCAAGGAGAGAGGGGGCTAATCTGAGTGATGATTTAGCTTTGCAGTTACACTTGCAGCCTGGCATAGTTACTGCTGGAGTGGGAGAAATTCAAAGCGGGAGAATGAGCTGCAAGTGGGGCAACAGGAAGGATATAGGACTGAGCTGGCCTGGCTGACGAACCAGAGGTGAGCCCTTCCTTAGACCTGAAAAGGAAAAGGAGGGAGAAGGTGCATGAGACTCAACAAGGCTCAGTGCCGGGTCCTGCACTTGGGTCACAACAACCCCATGCAACGCTACAGGCTGGGGGAGGAGTGGCTGGAGAGCTGCCTGGCGGAAAAGGACCTGGGGGTGTTGGTTGATAGCCAGCTGAACGTGAGCCAGCAGTGTGCCCAGGTGGCCAAGAAGGCCAATGGCATCCTGTCTTGTATCAGAAATAGTGCGGCCAGCAGGACCAGGGAGGTGATAGTGCCCCTGTACTCAGCACTGGTGAGGCCGCACCTCGAGCACTGTGTTCAGTTTTGGGCCCCTCACTACAAGAAGGACATTGAGGTGCTGGAGCATGTCCAGAGGAGGGCAAGGAAGTTGGTGAAGGGCCTGGAGCACAAGTCTTATGAGGAGCAGCTGAGGGAGCTGGGGTTGTTTAGTCTGGAGAAGAGGAGGCTGAGGGGAGACCTTATTGCTCTCTACAACTACCTGAAAGGAGGTTGTAGCGAGGTGGGGATCAGTCTCTTCTCCCTAGTAACGAGTGATAGGATGAGAGGAAACGGCCTCAAGCTGAGCCAGGGGAGGTTTAGGTTAAACATTAGGAAAAACTTCTTCACCGAGAGGGTGGTCAAGCATTGGACCAGGCTGCGCAGGGAAGTGGTTGAGTTTCCATCCCTGGAGGTACTTAAAGAATGGATAGATACAGTGCTTGAAGACGTGGTATAGATGGACTTGGCAGTGATAGGTTGACGGTTGGACTCGATGATCTTAAAGGTCTTTTCCAACCTTGACAATTCTATGATTGTAGGATTCTAAGGTTGCTGAGCATTTCTGTAAACAGAAAATTATCTTGCTTTTGTTGTGGGATGGATTGACACTTGTTTTGGGAGTAACTAGTCACAATACAAGGGCTTTCTGGTTACTGAGAAGGATTACTGGGGAAAAGAGACTTGCAAATTGTCTGTTATTCTGAATCTGCAAGGCAATGGCATCTGTAGGGAATGCTGCGTACATGAGTAGTTTCTGTGGTTTAGTATGCTGGTTCAGCAGCATATGTCAGATCTAACACTTGCTCTGTCTTTTCCTGCTTGGTCCTTGTACTTCTCTGGCTTATACTTAGGTCTGACCCTCAAAGCTGTCCTCCTCCAGGCTGAGCCAGTCCTCAATGCCTGTTGTTCTGCTTATTTATGAAACAAAGCCATGTGGGAACTGATGAGTGGAAGACTTGTTATTCTTGGGGCTTGTAAAGAGGGGGAGTCAGAAAGAGTGGGAACTGACGGTGGGAGCTGGAAAATTGCTGCTTGAGGGCTGTTCATGGAGGTTTTAGTGAGTTGCAGAGGGGCAGCCCAAACCTAGAGTCAGCCCAAACCTAGCCCCAGGCTGTATGGCCTTTGGGGTTTAGAGTGCTTGTGGTCAGTACCAGTGAGCTTGAAGTTAACTTTAAGGTTAACCGAGCTGTCAGCTTGGACAGAGCCTAGATAGTGTGGGTTACAAGTGTAGGGTGAGATTTTAACATCTTTTGAACAGCTGAATCTCTCTCTTTTCCTCTTGGCATAGAGGAAGTTGATCCATACCCTTATTATATACTACAGGGGCCCCATTTGTCCAGTCTCAAAAACTTTTAAGGGAGTGAAGAGCTGCTATGCCTTTTTTCACCTGTTAATAGGCCGAGAAGATGTAGTGGCCATCTGTCTTTAAGGCAGGTATCTCAGCAGACTGCAGGGAACGTGAAGAGTGCTACTGGCCCTGTCTCCAAGTATTGTGGCAGTGGGTAAAAACCAACAGCCTGGTCTTTTAAAGAGTTACAGTCTCCATCTCTTTGCATGAGATTATCTTTTCCTACTGAGCAGTGTCGCCTCTGAAAACTAGGCGGTTGTAGACATGGAAAAAAGTTCTAAGATTATTTCCTCTCCTCAGTCTGAAATGCAAATTGATTTCTGACGAGTCCATGAAGAGTCTTCATTGTTAGCCTTTTCCCTGGTGACTTGTGAAGCTGTAACTCTTCTGAATTTATTTTTCACACAGAACAGCATGTATTTTCCCTACTGTTGACCTCTGACTGTGCTACAAGGATGAGAAGTTTTGAAGGGAAGACTGTTTCTTGCAATAATCAGTGTAGCAGCAGGCATTTGTTGAGCCTAGGCATTCAGGACAATAATTCAGGGAAAAGGCAGCCAAATCTGTTTTTGGATGTTCAGACTCTCCTGAGAACAATTCCTAAGACAGCCCTCACAGTTTGTGGCTGTATTCAGAGGACGGTGCCTTGTATGAAGGAGCCAGCTGTCTTCCCTGATTCAACACAGGTGCTGTGTATTTGCAGCCACGGGTTTCTGAGTGTCCACAGGCTTGGTCTTTCTTTTTCTCCGAACTGTTTTGTGCCAAGAAGGCCGGGTTGCTCGCTGTGCTTCCCACTGCTCTGCTAGTGATTGTTACAACAACAAGAAGTAACCCTGCAGTGATTTCATCAGAACACTTACTCCCTGCGGTGCATTTCAGCTTCTTATTGGAATACTTTGGATTAACAGAGACTTAGAGGAAGAATAAAGAAGTCTTTGTGTTTGTCAAGGATTTTAACTAGTGAGTAAGTGGCAGCCTCCTAGTTTGCAGAGAGAAAGAGCAATTTGATCCTATGTGTTTCTGTTTGAAACCACGCACATTTTGTTTTGCTGAGAACTCAAGTTTGTTCTTTTTTTTTATCGTCTTTATCCCCAGAGAGCTTGGCTTTCCCCTGGCTTTACACCTGGTGTGGCTGCTTTGCACCTGTATTATGCACATATATAATGCCACCAGTATCATGTGCTAGGTAATGCTTGCTGTAATAGTTACACAGGAGGTGCAAAGCGATGGGCTTCAATTTTGGCAGTGGGCGGCATGTGTAGCTGAAGCCAAAATTTGGCCTTCCATAATAATGGAGGACCAAAGCAACATCCAAAAAATGACATTAGTCTCTTGTATCACCAGGTCCTGCAGTAAACACAGTTTGTCAAACACAGGAGTCAAGTGTGATTTGAATTGAGGTGAAGCTTGTTTTAAAATATTAAATAAAACACATTTGAAATTCAGAGAGAACAGTCATCTCTGACCTGCGTATCACAGGCCGAGTAATTTTCACCCAGTTACTCCAGGGTTGTACTTGCAATATTCTTATAATATCAGTATGACTATGCAGCAATTCAAATCACAGTATATGTCTGAATGTTCATGGGCAGAAAAAGAGTCCATTTACTTTTTATGCTTGCTGCTCTGGAGCTTAGGAAACCTTGGGCAGCCTGAGGAGTGACATTGGACTGTTAGCTGTATGGATGGAGTGTGAATGTTTCTAACTTAATTTACCAATGAATATATGTTGAGCTTGCATTAGCTAAGTGTTAAATGGCAGTAAAGGTATTAAGAGTTAATGGAAAATGGAGTACACAGAGGCTATTGCTTCTGAATAGTACATTTTTGAATAATTGCATTCCCGGTTGATTTGTTTTTATAGATCTCTTCCATGTCATTCTTTGTGCTTTTTGAAGTAAATTTTTGTGAGGAACAGATGAAATCTAATTTGCCGTGTGGCTTGCATTTAACAGATATTTTATTGCTGTGGCGTTTTATGTAAGTTATTAATTGCAAAGCACATTATGATGTGCAATTCTAATTCTAGCTAATTTGATTACCCTTGCAACACAGTACAACTTTACTTTAGGAAACTCTTGTTAGCATGTAATAAGATCTTGCGGTTGAGAAGGAAAAAAAACCAAGGTCCTTGAGCACTACATTTTCATAGTGCCATGCTCAAAATCACAGTGCCTTATTCTAGTGCTGTACAGGGATGGACAGTGTGTTGTCCCCCTCCAGCACTGCTGCTGAAAGGGTTGGAAAGACTATCTGTAAAGATAACTGTATTTATTATCAAGAGTGATTAACCAGTGTCAGTGCTACAATCTTAACATGGGTCCTGAGAGCACTGTGTGTCTCATTAAAAACCTGCTTACATAATGATGGGTAAATGTGCTGAGCTGCAGAGCTGTGTGCTCCTTACTGTCTCTTTCAGATAGACCACAGATAGAAAGACAGTCTGATGATGTGGATGCCAACCTGGCACTTAACAATTTTAGTTCAGTTTTCCAGTTTAAAGCTTTTTGAATAATCACTGCGGTTCATATTAGGCTCTTTGTGGGACTGAGCAGTAGTCCACATGAGCCGCAGTTGCTTATCTATGAAACAGAAATAACAGTGCCCTTCTGCCATCCAACAGTGTGGTGAGGATGGTGGTTCATCCAGGAATTGCTAAGATGCAGCAGTATGGCCATAGAAGTACTGAGATGCAGAGATTAAACAGTATGACAAACCTTTGTTTTCAGTGAATGCTCTTGTTCATACTTAAATGTAAAAATCAACCAGATTCATACATACACATCATCAGGATTTTTTGGCAAAATGTTTTGCTACAGAAAAATGCTCTACTGAGGGAACACAACTTTCTGCAAAAGTATTTTGGTTTCTATTAAGCTTTCTTTGTGAAGCGGCCTTTCTTCCAAGACGAAGAATTCGTTCTCTTCATCTGGATGTGCAGCCCCTCGTGAGTTGGGAAAGGCCTAAGTTCAAGTCCAGGCTCTGTCTGATTCAGAGCAAGGCTGTAAATCTGTTGTCCGCTTCCCAGGTCATAGGTGCAGCAACAGTGATTCATACTCCAGTGGAGTGGTAAGAAGAATAAATCCCAGAGCACTTCCACACTGTTCTCAAAAGCAGGATTCTTGTCTTTTGTTTTCCACTGATGGCAATTATGTTGTGATCCAAAATCTGTATTTTAATTGTTTAATATTGAGATGTAGTGTAGAGTACCGATTGCAAAATTTCTTTATTTCTTGTTCATTACCTTTGTTTTCACCTTTCAGGGTGTGCTGATGGTTGGTCCTCCTGGCACTGGCAAAACAATGCTAGCCAAAGCTGTTGCTACAGAATGTGGAACAACGTTCTTCAATGTGTCTTCCTCTACCCTGACGTCTAAATACCGGGGCGAGTCTGAGAAGCTGGTCCGCCTCTTGTTTGAAATGGTATGTCCTCAGTGATGTGATCTGGGGATCACTAAGGTGAGAAGGGACATTTCCCTTGGTTTCCTGCCCCTCTAGTAGCATGTTGGAAGCATGGAGTTCATTGAACTGACGCCCCTTCAAACAGATAGAAAAGCGAAGTCTCTGTGTTTCTTTCCTTTTCTGATATGTCGTTGAGGATAAAGAAGGAAATGGTTCATCACCCATGTTTAGGATAGCGTTTTCCAGGCTAGCCATGGAGTTGTGACCTTGACAGAAATTCAGTTCTTACTTGGTTATGGGATAAGCCCATAGGAAGTAGATTTGAAATTCGAAGGGATTGGGAACTGTTATTCTAGAAGCAATATATGTTTTAGTTCTGTTTCTGTTCTGAATGATGGACACAAGCCTCTCAGTGAAGTTTTGGGTGTGGTCCATCATGCGGGCTATGTGAAGGACATGCCCATGTGGACCTATGCTAAAGGGTTGTTCACCTCTTTGGGATCCTCGCTGCACTTCTGCCATACTCTCAGTTAAAACCTGTCTCGGTTGAGACAGGCTGAGCTGCCTTCTGTCCCCTGGGCTTTTCCCTCACCGTAGAAAAACCTGGACATGGAAAAACTGACTGTATTTTAATTGTATTCCTTTTTGCCCTTTGCAAGACTAGTTGCTGGGGAAAGACCCCTGACTTCAGGAGTACAATTTAAACTTAACCATATGCCAAACAGTTTGTAAATCAAGATCTTGAATTATTTTCTTGTGACAGGCAGGGAAGTTATGTATGTAATGTGTCCAGTGGGACTGGGTCGTGGTCTGATGCGGGCCTGTGCTTGCTGCTGCAGCCTTAATAGTGATGTTTTCATTTGAATAAAGGCAAGGTTTTATGCTCCAACAACAATCTTCATTGATGAGATAGATTCGATCTGCAGCCGCAGAGGCACGTCCGATGAACACGAGGCGAGTCGCAGAGTCAAGTCAGAGCTGCTGGTGCAAATGGACGGTAACAAGTGTTTAGATCTGAGTTTGGGGCTTGGGTGCTGTTTCTTTACAGTTGGGAATGGAAGAATTTGAGCAATCTCGAAAACCTGGCTTTATGGGTGGGGGAAAAATAAGGCAGAATTTGAGAGTAGTGTATTTTTTGAGTATTCGAAGGCAGATGACTGAAAAGGGTGTTCTGCTTTATTTTTTTCTAAAATGGCCATTTTGATGGTAAGTTGAAAATTCATATTTAAGAGACACAGACTCGAGGAGAAGCAGATAAGGAGATTTGTGCAGTTTAATACAGGTCTTTAATTTTGATGCAATTGAAACAAATTTCTCCCCTTTGCTAGATTCTCCAGCTCGGGGACCCCATTGTGAGATCTGATTTTGCTGTATTCTGTGGTGGCAGCCAGTAGTACCCTTTTAGTCAGATTTAGTACCTGTTCTGTGCAGGTGCACGTAACGAGGATGACCACCTGAGAAATACTGTATGGTGTAGTGGTTTGATAACCACCTCTGTATTGCAGTTGTTCTTGCTATTTATTATGTCCTCAAATGTGCAGGTTCATTGTGGTAAACTCAGGGTAGGCAACTTTTTGCCCCAAAGTGATAATTTCTTTGCAGTCCTCATTTGGAAGGCCAAGGAGTGATTCCTATTTCTTCTATAGCCAGATTTGACAGAGATAGTACTTTCGGTGGCACTAGCAGGGCTATACACACATATGACTGTTATTAGCACTGTCAAAGAAAGCCCTCCCCTGGCTCAGCAAAAGAATGAACTGTCCCCCTCTCTGTGACAATGATGGTCTTGTCACACCTAAGCTATGGGAAGTTTGGAAAGCAGCACTAGGACTACATAGAACTGTTGCTTAGCATTGTCCAGGCTTCTGCAATATTTGTGCAGTGTTTCTTAGCAAGTATCTCAATCAGTAAGAGCTGTGGAGTGAAATTGCTCTAAACTGTTGTGCTTGCAGGGGTAGGTGGTGCTCTGGAAAATGATGACCCTTCCAAGATGGTTATGGTATTAGCAGCTACAAATTTTCCCTGGGATATCGATGAAGCTCTCCGACGTAGGCTGGAGAAGAGGATTTATATACCTTTGCCCACAGGTGTGTTTGCTACAAGCATTTTCCTTTAAAATGGCCTTTGTAGGATGAGCTTAGAACTACTGCACAGCTGTTGGGTTTGGGAGGAATCTTGATGTTTTTGTGATGAGCAGTGAAATTCAGGGGTTAATAATTTGGCTGGGTCGCTTTATTTTTAAAGAGAGTGAGAGAAAGGAAAAAAAAAATACTACTTGCTTGGGGGCTTAAAAACAAAGAGCTGTGGCATTTCATTGCAAGCCCATTGATGGGTTTTTACATTTTGAAAGAGAGTTAGTTTTAATGAGCCTGGAATTATTTTAAATGTTTAACAGTCAGTCCTTGAGTGATCATCAAAGGCAGCCTTTGGACATGTTCAGAAATACTGCAAATGCACTCCGTGCCCTTGCAGACAAATGCAAAGAAGTGGATCCACGAATTTTCACTGACAGGCTTAGTTCATTGTAAATCACTGCTTGCTCGCCTTTATGACTGTGCTTCGAGTCACTCAGAATGCAGCAGGCTGATTGCTTTCCTGCCCTAAGATATCTCCGCTTGTATTGTCTTTCCTAGCTGTCATTCACCTGTCCTATTAATTTTGAGATTCCTATCACTTGAAGTTTGCATAGCTTTGTTTCTTCTTGGTACAATGGATGCCTCATCTCCCTGCATGAGCACTCAAGATAACAAGATGCGTGTTCATGGTGACAGCAGTTGTGAATGAGTTTAGCAGGTATAAGGACACTTAATAGTTCTACAGCTTGTCTTTGCAGCTTACAGGTGATAACAGCTTCTAACAGGATGCCTGTCTTTATGACCAATTAGTTTAAAATCCTATTGGCTCTTGCTCTTGTTTCTAATTAAACCAGATTGTTTTTTGACACCACGTATTACACCCTGGACAACATGTGAGATGTGCTCCAGTTTTATTTCCAATTGTATTGGGTTTCTGTGGCAAGGTTTTGGTAGCAGGGCACTACAGGGGTGGCTTCTGTGAGAAGCTGCTAGAAGCTTCCCCCACGTCTGATAGAGCCAATGCCATCCAGCTCCCAGATGGACCTGCCACGGGCCAAGGCCGAGACCATCAGCGATGAGTGAGAATATCAGAGGAACAACCCTGCAGACACCAAGGCCAGTGAAGAAGGAGGGGGAGGAGGTGCTCCAGGCGCTGGAGCAAAGATTCCCGTGCAGCCCCTGGTGAAGACCATGGTGAGACAGGCTGGCCCTCTGCAGCCCATGGAGGTCCACGGTGGAGCAGATATCCACCTGCAGCCTATGGAGGACCCTACGCTGGAGCAGGTGGATGCTTGAAGGAGGCTGTGACCCCATGGAGAGCCCGTGCTGGAGCAGGCTCCTTGCAGGACCTGTGGACCCATGGAGAGAGGAGCCCACACTGGAGCAGGTTTGCTGGCAGGACTTGTGACCCCGTGGGGGACCCATGCTGGAGCAGTCTGTTCCTGAAGGACTGCACCCTGGGGAAGAGACCCTCGCTGGATCAGTTCGTGAAGAACTGCAGCCAGTGGGAAGGATTCACAATGCAGAATTTCATGGAGGACTGTCTCCCGTGGGAGGGACCTCACGCTGGAGTAGGGGAAGAGTGTGGAGTCCTCCCCCTGAGGAGGAAGGAGCGGCAGAGACAATGTGTGATGAACTGACCGCAACCCCCATTCCCCATCCCCCTGCGCCACTGGCAGGGAGGAGATAGAGAAAATCGGGAGTGAGGTTGAACCCAGGAAGAAGGGAGGGATGAGGGGAAGGTGTTTTCAAGATTTGGGTTTTATTTTCTCATTACCCTACTCTGATTTGATTGGCAATAAATTAAATTAATTTCCCCAAGTCAAGTCTATTCTGCCCGTGACGGTAATTGGTGAATGATCTCTCCCTGCCCTTATCTCAACCCACGAGCCTTGTATTACATTTTCTCTCCCCTGTCCAACTGAGCAGGGGAGTCACAGAGTGGCTTTGGTGGGCCAACCAACCACACCAATCTTAGGTTCTGTTGCATCTGTTCTGTAAATAAGAATGCTGAGCTGTTTTGGGCAAGTCTAAATGATGCATTTATAACTGTGCTGTGTGATTTGATGTGGTCAGGCATCTTAATTGAAAAAGTGATGTGATATGATATGTCATATGTACACCTGTATATTGTGGAATTTGATGCAAGTATATATTCTACCGTGTTTCATTTTCAAAATACTGCAAGGACTTGCTTAGCCCCATAGCAAAGAGTAGAGTAATGTTCTCTGATACAGGACGCTCTCTGCAGGTATGCCATATGTACACTGTGCTCTGTAAATAATAAATCCCCATTTTATAGCTAGTGCTAGTTGTATGTGATTGATAACTATATTCTTGACAGTTCTGCAAAGCACACAAAACCAGCAGCTTTAGACAAGCTTTCTAATTTCTTTTATATTTCCCCTCCCCCCTTTTTTTTAATTAGGGACGTCGATAAATAAAACGTAAGTGTGGACATCTCCTTAAGACTTTTAGCTTTTCCTACTCTTTCTTCTGTTGTGCTTGTCCTTTTTTCTAGGTCATAAAAATTGGTCACTGTGGAAATAGAGGTGGTGAGCTGGTATGTTTTTCTCTCCAGTAAAAGCCAGGAAAGCATTCGTCCTCTTCTTTACCACCATTCTGCAGAGTAACACTTAGGCTATCAGGCTTCAGCAGCTTTCTTGGGTCCCAACTGAGTAAAGTGCTTAAACATATGCTTAAAGTTCAGCCTATTGTTAAGGGGTTTGTTCTGTCTGAAGCTCTGTTAATAGAATCCTCATTGTGGTTCTAATGAAACTTTGTGAATAATATGCAATCAAATACTTGAACAGTGAGTGAATCCGAAGGGATGTGAGAAGAAGCAGACATTTGTAGGACTGTGCTTTTGTGCCCTTGGGTAGTATGTGACCAAATGCTTTGTCACCTGAGACATAACAGACATTTTTAATGACGTATGACGTTGGAAAATGTCTCGAGGGTATGCTGTTTCAATATACTACTTTTAACCATATACTTTACTGTATTTGCACACTTTACTATGTTTTGTTCTGTCTCTTTTCTTATATTAAACCTTTTTGTTTGTACTTTTCACTGAAAAATCTAAGTTGGGTTTATTTCTTTTTTTAATGTTACTCTTGCAAGTCTTCAAACAAGTATTTTTATGTTGTAGCAAAAGGCAGAGCAGAACTACTTAAGATTAATCTTCGGGAAGTAGAACTGGATCCTGATATCAGCCTTGAAGAAATTGCTGAGAAGATTGAAGGCTATTCTGGTGCTGACATCACTAATGTTTGCAGGTATCTCATCCCCCTTAATTTGCAAGTAAAACTGCATGGAAAGTCATCCTTTACATTATGTGATAAGAGGCAATACCCACTATAGCTGTAGCCATGCTAACAGTGACTATGTTTGAGGCCCAAATCTATTTACTGGAACCATGCATTGCTGTCATGTGGAGCAGTCTAAAGACCATGGAGTCTTTGTATAAGATGTGGTTAAGTTTTTTCCTGGCTCTGAAGAGAAAAAAATTGTCTAAGCAGATCCCATGTTACCATTGTCTGCATTTACTGAATATTTGTTAATGTAGTGCAAAACAGGTTTGTGTTGTTTTGGTTTTTTTTTTTTTTTTAATCCCGTGAGTTTAAGAGCTAGAATTTTGTGATGCAAAGGAACCTTTCACAGAATACATCTTGGGGGCTTCTGTATGTTTGGACAGCCCCCAGTGCAGCAGTCTTGGTTTCTGCCTGAATCTTCTTAGGTGCAAGGGTGACACAGATAGTTTATAGCATTAGTATTGAATTTATTTCCCTCCTGTTCCCACAATTTGTTTCATTTTCTGACAAATGAGGCTTTTCTGGTGGAGGATAGGTATTTGGAAAAACTTATCGGTAGGAGGTCTACGTCCCTTACAATGTTAGGATCCCTGCCAAGAGAAACTGATCCTTTAAGAACATGGCTTGGGACTTTTTTTCTTCCCCTGCTGCTTTGCTGAAATTGTGAAATGACTCCATGGTTTTGAAAACTTGGTGTGTGTCATACAGTGCAATAGTAAAATTACCTTTTCTCCTTGAGGCCTGTGTTATCCCTTGCTGGGAAGAACCTGGGGAAAGAGAGAATGTAATTTCAGACTGCATGTGGGCTGTGGTGTGAGAAATGAGCGGTGTTCTCCATGCCAGTGGGCCACGCTGACAGCATCCAAGCTGGAGAGGAGTCGTGGAGCAGGTAGAGCATGAGGAGCCATGGGCACCAGTGGCCTCAGCCCTGCAGGGCCACGTGGTGCTAGTGTCTGATGCCTCCTGCTCTGCCCTTTACAGAGTCGGGTGCTATGTGTGAGCAGGCAACAGATCTGGGCTGCACTCCAAATGCTTGCTGACTGTCAGTTTGGGCTACACGCTGGGGAGAAGGTTGAAATCTAAGGGGATGGGGTGCAAAATCCAGACTACTTTAAAAAAAAAAAAAAAAAAAGTCTTTGAGTGCAGTTCGTCTCCTACCCTGCCTTTTCCTGCACTGAAGTTGTAAAATTTCATCTCTATGAATCATTGTAAAAGGTTTTCAGTTTTATAGTTTTAATTATCTCTGCACATTTACCATATGCTTAAATGGGTTTTGGTGCCAATGCATTCTTTATGTTGAATTAATGTAGTGATCTGGGAACGTGGAAGCTAAGAAAGATGTGAACCGCATCTTCTGTGGTAAATAAATGCTCTCTTAAGTGTTTCTGCCAGTGGTTTCTAGCAAGAGAATACAATCAAAATTCATAGGCTTACAGCGCATGCTGCTAGTGATTAGCTCCCATACATTGTCCTGTATTTCCAGGGATGCCTCTTTAATGGCAATGAGACGACGTATTAACGGCTTAACTCCAGAAGAGATTCGTGCACTTTCTAAAGAGGAGCTTCAGATGCCGGTTACCAAGGGGGACTTTGAGCTGGCTCTGAAGAAAATCTCCAAATCTGTTTCTGCTGCAGACCTGGAGAAGTACGAAAAATGGATGGTGGAGTTTGGATCTGCTTAATCTCAGTGACAGCTCTCCTTTGCTAGAGTGTTATGGCTTTTGGTGTTTTCATTTGCAAAATGAGTTAGAAATCTTTTTAAAGGTTTAATAAAAGGTCTGCCTCTGCCCCCATCCCACCCCCTTCTGGTGACAAGATCTTTTAAACTCCATTTGCCTTTAAAGGGAATGAACACAATAATGAACTGATATTGTAAAAGATATTTTCTCTCTGAAACAGTAAAATAAGACAAACAGGAAGGAGAAAATAATACTTGTGAGGATAATATTTTTACTTTTCCAATGAAGAGCAGTGTTACTTAACCTCCTCATAGTCATCTTTCATGGCTGGAATCAATAATATCAGCTGGGGGATGTGACTCCGGAGGAGCTAACAAGGGCTCGCTGTACCCCCTGCTCTTAAGCACTACATTTCTGTTGAGCTGCTGACTCTGCCTCCCTTGAATGTGGCATCGAAGTTACTGTTCTCTCTCCCTCTTCTCGGATATTCAGAGCAAAGCCTGTGGATTAATTGGCATTACACAGAGGAAATAAGGATCAGTTTTCCATCAAGACATGGGCTCGGCTCTCCTCTCAGTTACACCCATTTGGAATCGATGTCGCCTCAGTCTGGGTTGATGTTACCTGTGCCGACTTCTGATGGAAATGAGAGGAAAAGAAAAGGGCCTTGATTGCTCTTAGTCCGGTTTATGCTTGATCCCTGAACATAGTTTGTACCAGTTTGACCAGTAGACACTTTGACTTAAGTTACATCTTGCACTTTTATGCGTATGTATTATCCTATACTTTGTCTATGCTGTCTAGATATTATTATTATTTAAGTACCAAGAGTTTAATACAGTAAAGACACTAATATCAAGGCTGACTGTAAAACACAAGGCTGTCCTTAAAACACATAGCTGTGGACTTCCACTGATTAGACATGAACTCTTTCCTAGCTTTAACAGACAATGGAATTTGCACCTGTTTATGTTACAGAACTGTTCATACTTTTTTTTTTTAATGAAGATTTCTTAAAAATGTATAAATGTTATTGATTTAGGGGAAAATAATCTGTACGATCTTATTTATGGTCTTATCTGTTTCTTCCCACGTACAAGTGCAGGGATGAGAAGGGTTGGGTTATAAACCCTGGCATGAGAAATCCTCTCTCTAGAATATGGCTGTCATGCTGACTATAGAAGCTTTTCACAGACACAGGCTGCAAGTCTGACATATGAAGGTTTCCCATGGTAGGAATGAGAAGGAGGGGTTAAACTTACAGAGGAATATGCAAGCTCTCAAATTTTTGGTGATTTTGTGAGCTAGGCCCGAAGTGTCTTGGTGGATGTGAGTTGCTGTGCAGTTCAGTAGGTATTCTGCCCTTAAGCTCTCTGCTGAGACTCCTAGTGGCGTAGCCGTATGTGGCAAAGTGTAGTAAGAAACAGATAACACCTCCTCTTGAATGAGAATATATCCTTATTTCCTCCTTCTTGCTCATTCTTGGAAGTTCCCGATAATGTCAGTAATTCAGCACAGTGGTCTTTTGGGCCATGACATGTGAACCACTAAGGTGAATGCTGCTCAAGCATGTCTACTGTTCAATAGCAAGGACTGTCAGGATACATGCATGACAGCTCTGCAGCATCTATCTGATTATGTGAGTGACTTTTAAAGCAGTTCTACCATTGCTGTTTTGTCTGTCAGTATTCCTTTTTTTTTTTTTTCTTTCTTTGTATGTGAAGATCACATCTCGGATTGATCCTGTCATTTTAAAGAGCTGTCCCAATTTGCATGGAGGAACACCGTGGAGGTTCGATCAATCTCGCATTTGACATGAAACTCAGTTGGGGCTTTAGAAGTGTGTAACCATGTGGCACTCCAGAAAAATACCTTCTAGGGCTCCCAGACTGGTTGAGATAACAGCTGCTGTTGATATCTTTCAAAGGACAGAGCATCTCCACTGGCTAGAGTTAGGCCCTGTTACACTCCTGGACAGGGAGGTTAGTGCAGGAAGAACATCAGCTTTTACCCTCTTTACCTACAGGGAGAATAAAAGCTCCAGTTGCTTCTTTCCTGACCGGTTTGCACTAACTGCACAGTAGAGCCCGTGGGATTCACCATACCTGCGTCTGTCAGACTAAAAGGAACAGTTCTCTCTGCATTGCAAGGTGAACAAGTAGAAGCCGTGTTGACTCTTTATAATTTTTGGATAAATTCCTAGTAGGGCTAGTCTCTTGCTCCCAGGGAATAACTGGACTTTATAGAATAGAGAAAGCTTTGAAAACATTGCTGCAGTCTGTCATTTCTTCCTTACAAAAGCTGTAGGCTGCAGCCCTTACTCTTTTGTTTGTTTGTTTGTTTTACTGCAATAGAAATTAGTAAAGCTACGCGAATCTTTTGTGGCCAATGCCAGATTAGCGCTTCAGGGTCTCTCACTAGAGAGGCCATTGCTGCCCAAGGAGCTTAGTCTACACAAGCAAGATCTAGAAGGGAATAGACATGAATGCCAATAACTTACCCTGTTCAGCTGCCTAAGAGCAGTGCTGGGATTCAGCAGTTGCTGCTTAGAAAGGTCTGAGTACCAGTTTTCTCAGTTTCATATTGCAAGCAGCAGTGCCCTTCCTGCAGCATTTAGCAAAAATGTCATTCCTTAGCTCTTTGATGAATCTTTTACCTTAAGGCATTAAACTTCCCTCTTGGCGTTAAGCAAAATTCACTGTACTGGGCATTCCCTCTAGTAGGAATTATTCAGGTGCTGTGGTCTTTTTCTCTAAAGGTCATGATTTCTACCCCAAATATGGTTTTCCTGTACAGGTCCATTCATCCTTTACTGCTGCAGAACAGAAAAGTGAAAGTTTCCAGGCTGTAGATGTACGATGGTTGTGCCCCAGCATTACGTATTGGGCCCTGCTAGATCAGTCACCGCACATGACAGAGACTCTCCCTTCCCTGCTGAGACTTGTCAGGATGGGGATCTGACCCTCTATGCTGACCCTTACGTCTTTACCAAGTCACTCTGGTGCACTCACCTAGGTGGGCTTGGCGATCGGGTTATTAACTCAGGAGGGGAGCCAGCGGCGGAGTGCAGCAAGGAGCAACCAGGGAAGGAAGGCTGGGCCAACAGCGGCAGCTACTCGAGGCCCTAAGGATGAGCTTACGGCTCCGCGTAAGTCCAATTCGTGTCCCGCTGGGGGAATGTTGGGTTCCTCAGAGCGCGACGTATGAGCATATCACAGCCTGCTGCGCCGATTTGTTCGGTCTGTGTCTGTACGGAGCTACGCACACACACGTGTGTATGTGTATATATACGCACCCAATATATGGTGCTTCAGCAGTTTCTACCTAAATTACATAAAAACCATGTTTTAAAGCTGTGTTTACATGTCTCTTTCTAAAGATCTGTGAAGGCCCTCTTGGGTGGCACTGTTAATTTTTGTACAATAAGCAATCTGGTTGTATGAAGTAATAAATGTACTTGTAGAGTCTGTCTCGCTCGGGTTGGGCTGTGAGTGCTTTGCTGGTAAGCGTTTCCAAAGGCTGCCACACAATGCAGATTTTTTCAGCATGCCACGGTGGTGTTGGATTCACCAAAGCCCTGGACGAAGAGCAGTTAAAGCAGAGTCTGTGTTTTTTGGATAACACTGTCAGCAATGCTTTCCCCCTTAAACTGGCCTTTCATTGCCACAAGCTATAAAATGGGGAACGCTCCCATGCCCCGCGTGTGGAAGGAGGGTGGGGGAGAGGAGAGCAGAGGCCCCAGCAGATGTTCAGTGTTAGCACCTGATTCAGACCTCACAGAGCCGGGCAGGCTTTTTATTACTTGCCCCTGGGCTGGAAGTATAATCAGGCTCCAGAGAAGCTATATCATCAGCTGCCTGCTAACCAGACGACTTTCAAGAGCAAAACTTCTGTTAGCAAAGAGCTTTCAAACTTGGAAAGAGACCCTAAGTCTCTTGGGACTGAGTTGATTATTTGAATTTTCTCACTAACTTCCTTATGAAAGTATGTGTAGTTTCCAGTGTTTCATAATGCCTCAAGCATGAAAGAGCGAGCAAGGGAAATTGCTGATCAAGGGATTTCAGGAGAGGTCAAATCTTTGCATAGAAAGTTCAGCTCACCCCAGTTTAAAAGAGACTGTGAAACAGCAAAGGTGCACTGACTTCTTGTGATCATGCTAAAGATGAAGGAGCCTGTGTGCTGTAAAGAAGTCCTCCATCAAGTGAGCAAAGACTGAGCTGTACGGCCCAGGCACAGGGACGCGGAAGCAGCAGAGGAAATAGTGAAAATTTTTTTGTCTGTTTGTGGAATAAACTACCCTGAATCAGTTCATGGACTGACAATTTTCTCAGATCTATAGTGACAGATAAGAACATGAACTGGTGGAAGTGCTACCGGGGAGCGAGCAGGGAGGCTGGGAGAGCAGAGCAACACGCCGCTGTAAGCGGGTGTCAGCACCATGGCGGCAGCGGGGCCCGCTCCGTGCCAGCCGCCCACCGAGCTACGCTGCCGCTGCAGGCCGCTGCCGTGCCGGGCAGGGGTCCTCTCGGCAGCCCTCTGATGGAATAACGCAGACTGTGTAAAGCCACCCGTGCTGGTGATGGCAAAGGCAGAGAGATGCTTCGATTCAGAGAATGTGGCACCCAGTCTTTTTCCCTGCTCGCATTAAGTGTTTCATGAGAGGGCTGTGCAAAAGCTTGGCCATGGCTGCGGATGCCTCAGCCACCCTTGTTTCAGAGCCCAACTTCCCCACGAACCATAGCTAACAGAGCTGCAGCGGCAAGTGATGTTCCTACCTCCCACAGCACGGGCATTTGACCCTCAAATTACCTCCCTCTCTAAGCCAGCCTGGTTTTGTAGGCTGGCTGTGACCTGTTCTTCTGACCCACTTACTGCCTATACGGTTCGTCAGTAGCTATAATAGAGGAGCTCCTTTTGTGCAATACAGAGCTGTCTTTTGATCAGCTAAAGCGCCATGCTCCCGCACATGTCGGCACCTAGGTGTCTTGGAAAGATCCAGGCCATTTTCCTCTTCTTTAGAAGGCCCCAACGAGCATTAAAAGGGTATGGGATGAGATGTCTTGGCTAGCCTGCTTGCCCAGTGCAAGAACACTTACTTCGATAGCCAAGGAACTGCCACAAGGAAAGTTCTGGCTTTGTTAGGAGGAGGCAAAGTGTGGGGATGTTCCCATTCCTCCTGCGTGGTCATATCATGTCCAA